AGGAGGAGGAGGAGGAGGCGGCCCGTAAGAGGCGAAGGAGAGCAGAGAAGGATGGTGTGAGGGGGGAGGAGGATGAGGAGGCGCGCCGGGAGAGGAAGCGGTTGAAAAAAGAGAGAAAGGAGAAGAAGAGGGAGAAGAAGGAGAGGAAGAAGGAAGTGGTGGAGGGGTGAGAAGCCTGGTTCAGGTCCCTATCAAGAAAAATCCCGCCTCGTATGAATGGCCTTTATCGCGTCCGGCGTGATGGTTATAGGCTCGGAAGCGTGAGTGTGGAGATATGGTATAAAGGATACTAAGGAATGCGACTAGATGCAGACAGTCGCATTGGATAGCAACTCGATGCCTAAAAGTAACCAAAAAAATAGCGGAATGCGAGTGAAAACAACAAAAAGCAGAGAAGAATGAACGCCGCGTCGTCGCCTGCAAATTCAGTTCTACTGCCTTGAAAAAGGTCACGTCATCAGTTTAATCTTACCAGGACAGATGTATTTACATACCGTCTCGCAAAAGACAATGAGCATGCTCGCTTATACTCCTTACTGGAGAAAGACTGCTGCGACAGAATTGAGAGCCGCGACGACAGCAAATGATGGACGTTAAGGTGTTGTCCCCTGTAATAATTGTATTCTTTCGTCGGGGCTTCGTACATGTGGGATGCGCAAACGTTTTTCCCTTTACGTATGTTCCAAAGTCCCCTGCTGGTCTCCTTCCCTTCCCTACTTCCATCCGACGGCCGCCGCCTTGGGTGTCGTTTCCCTCCCCTTTCATGACAACCGTGCTAGCAAAGCACGCACCTCACCGTCGCTACCAAACCACAAAACGGCAGGTCAAGCGGGATTAAAGTCTGGGCGGCGGGCGGGAAGCACGATGGACTCGGACTCCATGCCAGCTACCTCGGCTGCAAAGCCTTCTGGTACGACGCCGCTTCGTGAAGACTTTATCACGAACGGCGTTTCGTTCTTACGACATCCCAACGTCCAACAAGCACCGCTCTCTCAACGCATCACCTTTTTGGAGAAAAAGGGGTTGACGCAGGAGGAAATCACGGAAGCTTTTACAAGAGCCAAGAATGGCTTGGAAAGCAGCCTTCCATTCCACAGCTCCAGCACGCCTGCTAACAACACTAGCACCACCCCTCCCACCCATTTTTCTCCCCCTCCTCCGACGCCTTACGCCGCGACGGAACCCCTTCCATCTCCGCCCGAGCCTGTGGGAATGTGGAACCAAGGCTTCGGATACACGGTGCCTGGCGCGGTGGTAGCCGGGCTGGCTATTGGGGCAGGCATTACCCATTTGTATCGGTACCGACACCACCAAGAGCTCATGCAGCAAGCACAGGAGGAGCAACGGCGCCAAGAAGCGGACGCGGACGCGGACGCAGCGGCACGACAAGCACAGGAATCTCTGGAAAGAGATGAGGGGGGGGGAGGAGACGTGCGGGCCGTGCGCTTCCAGGAGTCGGAGTATCTCGTGGCTAGAGGGGACGCACATTCCCTGCCCCCCGCTTCTTCCCTGCAGGCCATCGCGGAGGCCATTCAAGCCCAAGCTCAAGCTCTCACCGCCTTGGCTGAAGCCTCAGAGCGGAACCGGCAGGATTTCCATTCCCTTCTGAGCGGCCACCTGGCAAGCCAAAGCACCGAGCTCAGGTCGGAACTCACGACGCTCAAGCAAATGCTTCTCTTGTCCGCGGGCGCGCCGGCGGCGGCAGCGGCCGTCGGCGCCTCCCATGGGACGC